AAATTTCCATAATAGTATAGAACATTTATGAATTCTGTTAATATACATATATACAGGTATTATATTTTTGTCATTATAATTACAGAAATTCTAAAGCCCAGAAGTACAAAAGCCATTGAAACAGAAAATCAAAAGGCATCGAAACAGAAGTTCCAAATCCATCGAAACAGAAATTTAAAAGACATCAAATAGAAGTGCGAACTAAATTTTAACTTCCAAACCATCGTAACCTCACCACCCATGAGACCTGATCAATAAATTTAATAAATTTACATTTTTTTAATATTAAAAAACCGCTTATTGATAGCAATATTGTCATAAAAACTTATTATTTATTAAAATCCAATCTACTTTCCATACAGCTATTAAAATTGGAAGGTATTTTAAAGCTTTGATTATTTTACAATCCAGAACGGTGTGTTTGAAACCCTTGTCATTAAATAATTTTAAGCTAATTTATTGGCTTTAAAAAAAATCTTTCAACATTCAGCTTTGCGTTTATATTATTCGTAATTTTGACAAATTACATTTCAATTTAAAAATAAAAAAACTAGCTTAAAATTATAAATTTTTGTTCTCGGCGTGATTTTAAAAATGAGATAAACCTTCATTATCTGATTTAAATTTATAAAAATTTATCCGCCTTTATATTATAGAACATTTATTTAATATTCACATACATATATACTGGAAATAAAAATTGCTGTTATATTTTTATCATTAAAATTATCTAAATGATTCAGTATCATATCGATTGGCACTCTAGATATATATATATTAAAGAATAAAATTTATAATTTTGCATAAATTCGTCATTTGATGTAGTAATATTATTAATGATTAACAAAAGTAATAGTAATAATATATAGAATTTTTGGTTAAATAATATATTTCTCTCAATTTACGTAATTAGCTATAAAATATAATAATATTTATCGGAGTTGATAATTTTAAATCTTATATTTTATTTTCTGATATTTATTTTAAAAATTTATTAATAATTATGATATTATTCTTTAATCAAATATTTTTGAAATAATTGAAATAAAATTATTTTCTGATATCATTTTCTTGGGTTTGAAATGCATTTAATGGCTAAAGACATTAGAGATGGTTAGGGATAAAAATAATTCGTTATTCCGGGAAGAAAACATCAATGAGAAAACATAATCTATTTTTAATTCAAAATCATATATTTTTATCAAAAAGTTTAATTTATATTAAATGAGCTATCAAAATATTTATATCTTTTATTAGCCTTTAAAAGTAATAAATTTTCTATAGAATCTAACAAACATCCATGCCTCTCCCCTAAGACTTGTTTTTGCAATACTAAATAAGCGTTCCATAGGAGCACTAGAGGGGAGCGGGATATTGTATTTTATGAAGATATTTTTTAATTCAGCTATAAAAAAGTAGGTTGAACAAGTAATGAGTAAATTATACTAAAATATATTTTAAAAAGAAGCTCAAAACTATAATGAATTGCCCAAAAATAATTATAAGAACCATTTAAAAAATATTATTCTAAAGTTAAAAAAATAAAGTTATCAGTTCGTAAAGAAAGATTTTTTACTTTTAGATGAATTTTAAGAATAAAGCTGCTCACTTAAAAATGAAATACTTTTAATTAAACACAAAAGGCATTTTGCCCTTAAATTTGTTTGAACATTTTCATCAACATCTTTTAGAAGTTTAAAATATTTTTTGTATGATGGAAATGGAAATTCGATTTCTTCTTCTATGATCTCTAAATCCATAATATCGAAAACTATTTTTTATTATAATATATCTATAAAATGAATATTAATATTCACAAAATTTTCAATATAAAAATTAAAAACTTGATGTTTAATATTTAAAAAGATTACAAGAAAAACCAAATATAAAACTCGGCTCAACAGTTAATAATGGTTAAATTTAAATAAAATATAATTTCGTTTTTATCGAATTTTAATTAACAAATATTACTAATATTTAAAAAATAATTTAATTTATACTATAAATTTAAAGGAGCGGTTCCAGGCCTAAAAGGATCTAGCACCCGCTCTCGCTTCCCATTTTTAAAAAGGAGGGGCGCTTCAGGAGCGTTGCTTCTATAGCTCCGCTCCTTAACAACTCTGCTTATATCCAAAAAATAAATCTAAACATTAAAAAAATTATAAAAAGTGATATTAAATATTGAGCGTCGCATTTTTGAATATGCTCAATCATATTTTTTATAATAATATACCTAAAACCATTTAGCCCATCATTTTTGGAACCCGCTTACATCAGACCTATTGCAATAGAATCGCACTTCCGGCGAATAATTTCTATTTGCTCCAATATAAAATAACCCATCCAACCTACTACAACCTAACCAACCTAGGATTTAATGTTCTTGGAAGTTGTAAGGCTGCATCTCATTCGACAAGTGTCATCCTCCATAATACACATTAACAATGCATCCTCAAAATAAATCTACAAAATGCCTTCAGTTCACTTAGAAAGGAACATTTTATACCCTCTTTCTGTTAAATATTTCCCAGATTATTCAAAATACATTTCAGCATGTTACAACCAATCCACTTTTACAGAACTGTTGCTAAACTCTAATAAGTGTGAATTATAATCCCCTTAAAATTTTATTGTAGTTGACAAAACTAGCTTTACCCACCTATGTTCATCCATTGGAGGGGAAAAGGCTGTATTTCATTTTAAAGATGTATTACTTGCCAAATTCAATAGATTGAAAAATATTTTAATACATTTATCTGCTCATCAGGCTCTTTATTTACTTAATTTTTTTTATTTATTTCAAAGATTCTACAAAGCTTTTGTTCTTCAACAATTTTCACATCCCCTGAATATTATTAGACCTAAAAGTTCTAAAAAAATACTCTCGAATCTATTTTAAATATCAAATTCTCATCACTCTCCTGGATGCAAGCTACCCTACCACCAAAGCTCCAATATCCTTGAGCATTTCAGCAGTTGCTAAATTTCGATACACACAAGAGACTTGGATATTATTGATCTATATTATACCGCAGCATTAGACCCCTGGAGCAAAAATGACCCGAACCGCTCATAGCCAAATCTATAAGACAAAGAAACTGGTACCATTGATACAGCAAAACGTCAAATACCTACAATTCAAAGCTGTTCAAAGAAAATCCCCATCGCTCTTTCTCCATATAAACCTAACCCCAAGTACACAGAATTACAACATTAGGCTGCGAAATCGTAACGGCTACATCATGTATCCTGTTTGATATTCATATATATAGTTTTGGACACCACCCCCTACACTGTCGTTTTTAAAAAAAATCCAATTATCAATAGAATATTGAAATCCACCAATATCTTATCTTCACTGGAACCCTCTGGCCTCATCCTTGATAATTAAACCAAATCGGATGGAATGACGCTAGTCTTGGAACGAAGGTTTACATCGCTTGGGACTAATACGTGCGTAGATCGGTTTTGCCAGATCTTTTTCCGCCAACTCCATCACGAAAAGGAAAAATATATAGACACCTTTAATAATGTTTTGTTTGTTCCCATAGTCTCTGACACCACATTTTTTAATATAAAAGTAATTTTACATAAAAAGAGCTAGGGAATGTTACCTTGTTTTTTTGGATGTCAGAAATAGGAATTAGTCGGAATTTAAATATAAGGAAGATTTCTTTATTATATCAATTAGATGTAAAAATCTGTTACTATATTTATAATATATAAAATTAACTGATAATGATTTATCATGTAAAATAATTTTTTTTATAGATACAACTTAAATCAATTATATTTTTACAACTTATAATACATAATTATAATATTATATATCGATCGCCTTAAACCAATGACATATATAATACACCTAGACTGACGATTCATATCATTAAAATGCATTTTTAAGCGTCGTTGAATGCAAATCAGCTAGACCCGCCATTTTGGTAACCCATATGATAATTATTCTCAAGTTAAAAACTACTATTAAATTGATAACTCGCTTCCTTATTATCTCGATGAACAGGTAATTCAATAAAGTTTGCATCAGGTACAGGAATAAATTAGGCTCTCGTTTAAAATTTTAATAATGTTTAACTAAGATGGCGTCCCCAGCTGATTTGCCTTGATGTACAGTCTTAATGAATGAATGGTCAGTCTTATATTATATATATCATTTCTAAAATGAAAAAATTATCTTTATATATATAAAAGGCTTAAAATATGCAAATTTAGTCAATAGTATTCTTTTAAAAAAATATCGTCCAATAAAAATCATAACATATAAATTAATTACTGATCATAGTGGATTATATTTTGCTTAAACACCCCATACAGTAAATTAATTTTTATATTTTTTTTGAATTTTGCAACACTATAATATCCACAATTTAATACCAATTCAATGTGTTTATTTTTTATTATATGATTTTAGCAAAGAATTTAAATTTATTTATGATACTACATTTATTCTTATAAATTATACAAAAAAATAAGTTGAATTCATGAATAATAAAGATTATATATTGATGAAATAAAATAAAAAATTTATTGTTTTATAATTTTTTAATACGTTAATTATTTCTTTTTCTTTGATCTTTTTTAATATCAATTCAATGTGTTTAATTTTTTGTACTGTGTAAATTTATAACATATAAATTAATTATTGATCATAGTGGATTATATTTTTGTTAATATATTATGTAATACTCTATTTCATTTTTAATTATTGGAGGTTTTTCCTATTCAAAATGAAAGTTATTCTTAATTAGATTTACCTTATATTAACAAATTCCTACGAGTCTAAGTTATGTTAAATTTTAATCTACATATTAATTAGCTCCATCTAAAATAGCATTATATGTGAATCTCCATTATTAAGCGAACCTACGAATAAAATTCATAATATTGAACCAACATTAAACTTAATCGAAACACAATTAAACACATAAACAGCTATATTAAATTATACATAATTAATATATATATTTATTTTACAGCTTTATTTTACGAGCAAATCGAGTTTAACCATCATAGACACTTTACACAATTTATTTGCAGACTAGCTAATAACCCGTGGCTATAATCAAGCAAAACCATCAAAGATACTGTACCATTGTACGATCATCATTATCAGTATTTTATTTTTTATACTTTCAATTTGCACCATTTAAATCAGGGAATTTACACAAAGACCACATAGAGCACATCAAAGATATGATACCATCAACATCAGTAAATTTAATTAAATAAAAATGTGCTTTATAAATTTAAAGTATTGTGTAACATTGCAAATATGCTGAGAATCTTTTTTAATATATTTTTTTGTGCTTTAAAAATTTTAAAATATTGTGTAACAACTAATATGCTGAGAATCTTTTTTAATATCAATTCAATGTGTTTACTTTTTTGTGCTGTATAAATTTTAAAGTATTGTGTAACATTGCTAAATTTGCTGAGAATATTTTTTAATATCAATTCAATGTGTTTATTTTTTTGTGCTGTATAAATTTAAAGTATTGTGTAACATTACTAATATGCTGAGAATCTTTTTTAATATCAATTCAATGTGTTTACTTTTTGGTGCTGTTATAAATTTAAAGTATAGTGTAACATTGCTAAACATGCTGAGAATCTTTTTTAATATCAATTCAATGTGTTTACTTTTTTGTGCTTTAATAATTTAACAATATAGTGTAACATTACTAATATGCTGAGAATCTTTTTTAATATCAATTCAATGTGTTTACTTTTTTGTGCTGTATAAATTTAAAGTATTGTGTAACATTGCTAAATATGATGAGGATCTTATTTAATATCAATTCAATGTGTTTACTTTTTATATAATTAAATACATATGATTTTAGCAAAACCAAAAGATGTTTTTTATATTACCTAAAATCAATCAAAATCAAGAAGAATATTGCTTCAACATCTTTATTGATTTATAATTTTTTGATATGTTGATTATTTCTTTTTCTTTGACTTTTTGTACTGTGTAAATTTATTGTGTAACATTGCTAAATATACTGATAATCTTTTTTAATATCAATTCAATGCGTTTACTTTTTTGTGCTGTGTAAATTTAAAGTATTGTTTAACATTAACCAAAAGAAGCTTTTTATATTACCTAAAATCAATTAAACAAGAAGAAAATTTTTATATTTTTTTTGAATTTTGCAACACTATAATATCCACAATTTAATACCAATTTTATGTGTTTATTTTTTATTATATGATTTTAGCAAAGAATTTAAATTTATTTATGATATTACATTTATTCTTTTAAATTATACAAAAAAATAAGTTGAATTCATGAATAATAAAGATTATACATTGATGATATAAAATAAATTTTTTATTGGTTTATAATTTTTGACTTTGATTATTTCTTTTTCTTCGGTCCGTTTCTTAAACTAGAATTAATATTAAATTAAAACTCAATTCTGGTAGTGTATATAAATAAATTTTTTACCACAGAATTCGCAACTTGGCATTTATAGTTTATCTAGGCATTTTAGTTTTATAAACCAGGGTTTTCCAATAAAACCCATCTTTAATTTTTGTTGAAATATTAATAAATATCCGATAAATCTCAGAGTTTTATGCTGATGATTTAGTAGGCATTTATATAATTATTGTATTAACTCTTAAAATTTATGCAATTTATACTATTTTTAATCAAAGTACTATGTGATGCAGTAAATTAATTTATATATATTTTAAGGAGAAAGCTAGAAAGAGAGAGGCACGTAGTCGTAGCAAGAAACGCCACAAGCAAAGTCTTATAGCTTCAATATACAACTATCTTGATGATACTTCAAATTTTATAAGCAGTGAAAATCAAAGGCAAGTTGAACATTACTGTGGGCCATTAAATATTCTATGCCCATATTGTAATGCATTAAATATTATTTCCGAAAAACCATCTGATATAAAATTTAAAAATTGCTGTCACAAAGGTCGTGTTTTATTGCCTTCTCTACAATATCCAGATTTATTAAAAGATTTACTTTCAAATTTAGACAATCATTATTATAAAAATTTCTCTCAGAATATCTGGTCATACAACAGTTCCTTGGCTTTTGCTTTGATGGGGGCTAAAAATGATACTTTATTAAATAAAGGCCCATACTGTTTTAGGGTTCATGGTCAAATTTACCATCGAGCATCACATTTATATCCTCCTAATGGCGTTTCCTTAAAATATGCACAATTATATGTTCTTGAAACAGGCCATTGAAAATCGGCTAGAGTTTTTCATTTTAAAATTATCTGAATTATTACAGGATATTATTAAAAAAGATTTATTTGGCAAATGTTCGGCATACGTTTATATCATAGATTTTCAAAAGAGAGGATTACCTCATGCTCATATGCTCATTATTATACATGAAAATAATAAAATTGAAACAGCTAAGTGTATAGATAATTTTGTTCGAGCTGAAATCCCAGATAAATTCGTCGAACCCCTATTATATGATATTGTAAGTCGCTTTATGATACATGGACCTTGTGGTATTTTGAATCCTCACTCCCCATGCATGGAAGATGGTTCGTGTACAAGAAAATTTCCGAAAGATTTTCAAAAAGAATCTCAACACAATCCGAACGGATATGCATTTTATCAACGTAGAGATAAGGGTTTTATTCATGTCGGAGGTAAACCTGTCGATAATCGATACGTCTTTCCTTATGACAAATATCTATTATTAAAGTTTAATGCTCACATAAATGTTGAAATACATCTATAAAATCCATCAAATATATTTTTAAGTACGTTTACAAAGGCTACGACTGTGCTATTATATATCTTAAAACTAATTCGCTTCAATCTCGTGATAAAATTAGAATGCATATAAATGCCAGATATGTAAGTACATGTGAAGCCATGTAGAGATTATTAGAAAATCGAATGCATGATCGATCTCACGGCATCATTCGATTAGCAATTCACTTGCCATTTCATCAACCAGTATATTTTTTAGAAGGACAAGATCGTCAGGCACTAGAAAAATTTGCTAGCAGAAATATTATGTTAACTGCCTGGTTTGAACTAAATAAAAAAGACGTTAATGGCCGTCAATATTTATATGCCAATATACCATATCATTATAATTTCAGCGCTAATAAGTGGAAACCAAGGCAAAGAAAAAATAATAATTACAAGTATGTATACGGTTAATGCTAAATCCGGTGAGAGATTTTTTCTACGTTTTTTATTACTTCATGTTGCTGGCGCCACAAGTTTTGAATATTTGAGAAGTGTATTTTTAATACATTTAAAGATGCGGCTTTTAAAAGAAATTTATTGGTTAATGACAAGGAATGGGAAATATTTATGGAAGAAGCGTCAACATTTTTAATGCCCATACAAATGCGTCAATCATTTGCCTTTATTTGTAGTTTTTGTCAACCAGAAATTCCAAATAACCTCTGGGAAAAATTTAAAAAATATATGATAGAAGATTTCGCACATACCCATACAGATTCTTTTGCAATTAATATGTCCTTATCAGATATAGAAAAAGTTTTGCGTGACCATGGTTTTCATCTAAATAATTTTAATTTGCCTGTTCCTACTATATCAGTTGAAAATGATATTTATAATATTGAACCTGAGGCAGCTAAAGCATTGGAAATGATTTCTAAATTAAATCTTTTACAAAAATCATTTAATCGTTCAAAAAATAATGATTTTGCTCAGCTTTGTTTTTATATTGATGGTCCTGGTGGTTCTGGAAAAACTTCTTTGTATAACACCCTAATGTGCTACATAAGAGGACGCAACCAAATAGTTTTGCCGTTTGCAACAACAGGCATTGCCGCTATTCTTTTAAAAGGGGGTAGAACAATACATAGTGGATTTAAATTGCCTATTCCGATTGTTGATAACTCTATATCTCGCATGAGTCTTCGTTCCCATGAAGCTACTGTTATTAAAAGCTCCAAATTAATTATTATCGACGAAGCTACAATGATGACCAAATACGCTTTACGCTGTATCGATAGATTACTTAAAGATATTATGCAAACACAGTTGCCATTCGGTGGTAAAGTTATATTATTGGGCGGCGAGTTTAGGCGAACTTTACCTGTCATTCCAAACAGTTCAAAATCAGATATTATTGAATCGTGTCTTAAGCCTTCTGATTTATGGGTTTATTTTAAAGTTATCTACCTGAGTGAAAATATGCGATTATCTTCTGAAGATGTTGAATATAATTCTTGGCTTTTGAATGTTGGAGAGTCTTCATCAAATGTTTACAATCCTTAACTCCCTCCAGATTCTATTGAAATCCCAAATTCATTATGAAAATTTATTCATCAATTCAATATATGGAGCCTCCATGCAAATATCTGATATTAACTTACTTTGAAAAAAAAACTTATATTAACCACTAAAAATAATATACCCTAAATTTAAATAACGAAATTATTCAACAACTACCAGGAAATTTTAAGATATATCATAGTGCTGATCCGGAGGATTTATTTAATCACCCCATTGAATTTCTTCATTCTCAAACCCCACCAGGAATGCCTCCTCATATTTTAAACCTTAAAGTTGGGACAATATTAATGCTTCTTCGTAACATGAACCCCAGCAGAGGCTTATGCAATGGGACACGCCTTCTTATCAAAAATTTACATGATAAATTTATAGATTCTGAAATATTATCAGAAACGCATAATGGCCATCGCGTTTTTATTCCTCGAATTGATCTATCCCCTAACGATTCCCGGTTACCTTTCATATTAAAAAGACGCCAATTTCCTATTATTCCTGCTTTTTTTATCACTATAAATAAAAGTCAGGGTCAAACATTTGACAATGTCGGCCTCTTTCTTCCTGAACCTGTGTTTTCGCATGGTCAGCTCTATGTTGCACTAACACGTTGCAGATTAAAAAAAAATATGAAAATTTAGATATTATCTACAAAAAACCAGGGCAAACTTTTGAATGATAATAGAGTACTTACTCTTAATGTCGTATATCAGGGCATATTAAATTCTTTCGCTACAAATTAATAACGATACCACATTGAGCAAAACCATCAAAGATCCGATACCATTATCAGTAAATTCTATTTTATACTTTCAATTAACCCGATTAATTTACAGCAAGCTACAATCAACGAAATATTTACGGCAAGCTACAGTCATGGAAATTACAAAAAACGAATCACATTGAGCAAAACCATCGATATTCCAGACGTAGGCTTAAAAATCTAACATCCCTCTCATTTTGAAAATATCTTTAATCTCATTTTTTAGTAAAATTTTTGATATTATAAATTTTACTATATTATATTTTTTATTTGGTTACAAATGCATATGTGTGGGAACCCAATAATCGTGAAGTCTTGAGGTATATACAATTATTATTATATACTTTCTTATAATTCATATCTTTGTCTCTTTTTTTCTATTTCTTCCTTCTTTTTTTCATTTCTTTTCTCCCCTAAAATCCATCTCCTACCTTCACGCGGTGGGGAGTGAACAGAAATGCTGACTAACAGGAGCTCTGGTGGATAATACTGGTATTTGTGGTGCCAATAAGAGACACAGTTACATGTAATTGCAATAGGCAAGCTGACGAATATAGTGGCCTAGTGGGTTAATTCATATGCATTGGTAGATATATGAAATAAATCGCTCTATCTTTTTGATTGTTAGATGGGCAATTTATTTTTATCCAATAATTTGCGAGATTTAGATTTAGATTATGTTAATTTTAAAAATATAGTTTTTAAATATATAAATTTGTTTATATTAACTCATAAAATATTTAGCGTCATCTATATTATACATTTTATTTATAAAATCTATTATATTTTGGTCATAATAGGAAGCATTTGTGATATTTTTTAAAAAAAATATTCGATTGACAAAAGGTATAATTTTATTTTATATAATTTTCGCTTAGAATAAAGAGTTAAAACTCAGAAAATTATTCCTTAATGTTGGGGGTTGAAATAAAAATTTTCTATGGATAAGAATC